CATGTGACAAAGTCTTGAATGAATTTGAAGTTGTGACAAAGTTCACTGAAGCCTGGAAACTGCAGTGGCCAGTAGTGCTAGCACATGGCTACAGCAGGGTACCAAAGGAATGCATGTCAGTCAGTGTGGTCAGACAGGTAGTCTGGATTGCTTTGTTGTCTAAGTCTTGCAAATGAAGCTTTGATGAATAGGATGCCTTGTGAACACAGGGTGGGGTGAGTCCTACAGCAAGAAATCTGATTAAGCCTTCAGACATCCAGGAGCTGCAAAATAAGAAAGTACTTACTGTTGTTACAGAGGCCTAACATAGAGTTTGTACTGATATAGTAATTCCTCCAGGAACAGACATGCAAGAAACTCAAGAGTGGATATCCTTTAAAACAAATGGACAAAAAAGATTTGTATCTGTAGAGCCTTCTAAGCGCTGGATGGCTTTTTCTAGCTATTAGTCATCTTTGTTTCCCTGGTCCTGATGCTTGAAAGTTGCAGTTGTTATGAGTTTAGGTCTTCAGGACTGTGTGGGAAAGTGGTTGAGGGAACTGAAACAAACAAAAAAGTGATCTTTCTTTTTTTCTCTAGGACCCTTTGGTGAACGTGATGATCAACAGGTGTTTATCCAAAAAGTTGTTCCCATCACTAATAAGCTGTTTGTAAGGCTGTCTTCAACTGGGAAAAGGTACCTCCATGTTTAGGGTTTTAAGTGGGAAAGGAGCAGGACTGCTCAGGTGGCAGCATCTCCCATCCCTTGGGATGTGTGCACTTGCACTGAGCAAGCTTCTAATGTGCCTGACAGCTCTGGCTGGACTCTATTTTGTGTGTTAGTAATAGAACTATATCTGTGCTTAATGATCTGCTATAACCTAGGAGCCAAACAGCATTTTGAAAATGTGGTGCCAGAGACTTACTTTATGATGGTATGCCCACTGAACTCACAGAACAAACATCTGTGTGCCTCAGAACTTGTAACACTCAGCCAGAGTACCATGCCAATGTTAAATTTCAAAACTAATGCTGCAGTTGCTGGTGGCTGGGATTACACTACTCACAAAGGTAGGCAGGGAAGCAGTTTCTTGTCTTCCTCCCTTTGAAGATATTGGAGCCTTTAAAACTGAGAGATTGTCTTCTAGGTCAGCTATACAATTACTTAGCTTCGACTTCATAGTATCCTACTATATTGCTGCCAGTGTAGTAAAAAATGTTGCCAAATAACCACAGCTGCTTTTCTTCCTGTTAGTCTGGGAAGATGACAAGAGACCAGAAAAGATGGTGCTTCTCATTTCTAGGCTGCTTATTATTCTGGCATCCCATGCCTAATAACTTTGAATCTGGGTGAAAATGTTGATGCCTTAACACTGTTGGCCTCTGAATTGAGGACAGAGGCCCTGTGGATTACTGATGTGCTGCTTGCAATTTTTTTTTTTTTTTTCTTCAGGCTAGATTTGTGTGTAGTGGAGGGTTTTATTAGATGACTTATTTTGGCACTTCTTGAGTAAAAAGCTCAATACAAAGGCCAGTAAAACTAATTACACAGAATATGTGATGCTCTGGTGTGAAGTCTGGCTTAGCAGCTTAGTTCTGGGAGTCCTGTTCCTCTCACTCCCCACATAAACTTTTAAAATAAAGGGCAAAAAGCAGTGGAGATCTACCCCATCAGGTAATATTGCAGTTGTTGTAACACCAAAGTGATCTGCATAGGTAAACTTGAATTTATTGTCCTTGAATTTTTTCATTTATCTTTTAATGGTTCAATGTGCTTTTTCTGCAGATTAGTTTCCTAGAGTCTTTAGCATTTGAAGGGGCTAGTTGCTGTCATTCTTGTGAGACCCTTAGGTTTCTAATAACTGCAAACTGCAAATGGGAGATCAAATATATGGGTGTTCCCTAATAAAAATAAACAAGTAGCAAGACCGTAGATGGAGTGGGAGAAGGAGGTACTGCCTGTGGCTGAGCAGCATGCCGGTCGGGCAGGGGGAGGGACTTTGCCTGGAAGAGAGGTCTTTTTCTGATGGCAACTTTGGTGCCTTCTCAGAAATTCAGAACAGTACTGACTTTACTGGCCAAGCTCTGCCAGGTGCAGTTGCTTTGGCAACATGGGGTTTCTCTCCCTGCAGGATCTGTGAGATCCAGGCAGTTGACTGCACTACCATCTCGTCGTTCACCGTGCGAGAATGTGAAGGATCCAGCAGAATGGGCTCGCGGCCACGCCGCTACCTTTTCACTGGGCACTCCAATGGCAGCATCCAGATGTGGGACCTGACCACAGCTATGGACATGGTTAATAAGAGTGAAGACAGAGGTGAGTTGTGTTATACCAGGACTGTGGTTTCGTTCTTTTTCTGACCTAATATATGTGCATGACTACGGTAAGGAGATTTGAGCACTAAGAGCTGTCTCTTTCAGATGTTGGTGGCCCCACAGAGGAAGAGCTGCTCAAGTTGCTTGACCAGTGTGACTTGAGTACGTCTCGCTGTGCCACACCCAACATCAGTCCTGCCACCTCAGTTGTTCAGCCAAACCGGCTGCGGGAATCTAATTCCAGGTAAGTCACAAGGGTGACCTGTCTGCACCAGGTGGTGCAGACACCAAAGCTTTCACCCTTCAGGTAAGCAAAGAGGGGTTTGGTGACCATAATGCTGAGCCCCTGAAGCTATCCCTAAGTATCCTGAACTACACGCATACCCTCCTTCATTTCTCTTGGTTTGGATGGGTACAGATTAAAGTATCCTATGAGAATCTGAACTGATCTGGGAGCCCTTTGTGGGTGTTGTGATGAGTACATTGCTATTTTAGTGGGAGTGCCGGTGGGTGGGAGGGGAACTGACTGCTATTCCGAGCCTAACATCTGCTCTTCTCATCCTTGGTTGTTTTTCTTTTTTGAAGCCTTCAACTGCAGCACCACGAAACGATCCATGAAGCGGCCACGTACGGTTCTGTGCGGCCATACAGAGAAAGTCCCCTGCTGGCAAGAGCAAGGCGAACGGAGAGCTTTCACAGTTACCGGGACTTCCAGGCTTTTAACTTGCCCAACAAAAGCCCAACAGAAAAGGCAGCTGCTGGAAATGGGAATTCAAGCCAGGCAGAGACCAGGAAGGCAACAGCTGAGGGCAGTGCAGCTGAGAGGAAGGCGGTCCTGACGGCAGCGCTCGAAGCGCGAGGCACAGGCGTGACAGAGGCAGGTGGTTGTTGCACTACAGAGGGTCACCGTCTGCCAGAGAATTCTCTGGATCTCAAAAGAAGAGGACCAGAAGAGGAGAGTGAAGCCAAAGCAGAAAGCAAAAAGAAGATGGGTTTTGAAGGAGCTGGCTTCCTGGGAAGGAAGAAAGCACCTCTCCTGGCTTCTGCACCAGTCCTTGCTGAAGGTGGGCCTGAATTGCCCAGTGTGGCTTCTCCGTCGCCCACCAAGACAGCCGCTTCACCGCGTCACCGGAAGAACGACTCGTCCTGCCAAGACTACGGCTTGTAAAATGGGACTGGTGGGCAAAGATGAGGGGCGGGTGCCCTCTGGCTGGTAGCAGGTGTAACATAACGTGTGGTGGGTTGTTTCCTGAGCGGGACTTTGTTCTGATACCCAGAATGAAAATTGTACAGTTCCGAGAAAGAACCTGGCTGCTGCCAAACCTCTGAAGAAGAGTCGCCCGGATGGGTGTGTGGCCTTATGTCACGCTCCAAAATGTAGTACGGTACTTGGTCCAAAATATTGTTGTGCATTCTTGCGTAAACGTGGTCAGGCATGTGATATGTTGTGATTGTTTGTTTTGGGGGAAGGGAGGGTGCTAAAGGAATCCTTGGTTGCTGAGTGGAAGATGCCTTTTAGACACAGCCACACGTGGCTCTGCAGAGCTGCTGCTGTCTCGGCTGGATTTTGCCTCGTTCACGGGGCTGCCTCTGTGGTCTTGTTTTATGAATGGATCCTTGCTCTGTATGCTGCTATCTGAAATCTGAAATGTTTTGTGCAGGTTAAGGAGGAAGCTATTCAAAATAGCATATTATTTTGCCTCTTAGTCCAAATAAATCGCCAGAGGAGTTGCTTGTGATTTCTGAGAATGTATGGTATCAGATGATGGGTTTTGACTGAGAGCAATGCATAAAAAAAATGCTTGGCAGAATACACCGAACTGGCAGTCTCTTGAGGGTTTCCTTGTCATTTTCTCTGGAAAAAGGACAGAGATGAATATGGGAGTAGGTTTACTGTCATGATATAATAATTCTCAATTACAAGTGCCTTGACATGATATTTCCTACTTGTGTTGCACTTGCTGCTTGCTGTTTGCTCCTGCTTTACTGTGGGCAGTGAACAAGTTTCAATGCCTGTATATTAGTAATACATAAGCAAAAGGTCAGGCTGCAACGGCAAGTGTTTAATAGGGAGTGGGTCATGAGGTTTTCTACCTCTGAAAAAACAAGGTTGGAGTTAAACATTCATTATGGCTTGGGCTTTTTGAGACTTGAGCCAAGAGGGAGGGAGAGGAGGCAGAGGTTAAAGCAACTCCATAAGAATTCTTTCACTTGCTGTTTATTCACCTGTGCATGAACACAATTTTGTGGTGGAGCTTTGTCAGGCCAGGAGAAGACATGGCTATCCTGCCATGGAGGCCCCTTTAGCCCCATGCTGGGTTTTGGACAGGTAAAACCCTTTTCCTTACCAAATGTGCTGTCCCCCTCCCACCCCACAACACTCCTCAACTGTGAAAGTGGGATGAGAGACAAAGATGAGAGCCTCTACCACCGTCACAGTCTTCTACTACTGTATGACTTGTGGATTTTCACACTGCTCTCTTGCCTTTCTGAGGTGTTGGTGCTAACACAGTTTTTACTATGCAGTTAAAGAGAGGGTGATAAAAATGCCAGCTTACTCCCTCCCCCCAGCCCCTCCCAGCAAAGTTTTAAGTAGTGGGCACAGGGTGGGGAAACAGCACCTCTGTCCCCTCCCCCAAAGTCCATGTAGGCTGCTTTTGGCAAGTCACCCACTTTCCATTTTCTAAAGAAGGTGGTTGTGTTCTTCAGAGGTGGGTGTCTGTGAACGTAGTGTGCTCCTTGGTGACTGTGCTGAAGCCTTTGATGACGTTGACAAGATCCTCTTCATCTACATACTGTAGGAGGGGAGGAAGAAATGGTGTGTAAGCCAAAGCTGTACCAGACTGAAGGGGATCCTGTTCCTTCATTCCTCTCTCTCCCCACCCCCTAAAAAATGGCTCTGCAATAGTCAGGTAAGTGCATTTCTACCTCTGCATCTTTTCCCATTCTTCCCAGCATGAGCTAAGAACCAGAAGCACTCAAGCACCACAATCCAAAACAACTTACTGTTTTCCTAGTGAGTAGTATTGAGTTGCAAGATGGGACAAAGGGGTGAACAAAACTTGCTGGCAAGTTTTGACTTTTGACTTGGTGAGGAAGTTTGTGTTCTGCTACCACTTCAGAAACTCATTGTACTGTTCTGTAAACTAGTTCTAACATCCCATACACATGCTGGTTGTTGGTGGGTTTGCAACCTAAACCAAATAATGGTGTTAGCACTAGATAAGCAGATAGAGCAAGAGCTTCCTCTCTTGGCATAGGGAAGCTGTTCTTTTGGCTAATGAGATCATATAGAGGTACACTGTGGGTGGGCTGTTGGTCCCCAGGGAATTAAATCAGGAGGCTGGAATAGCTGTGAGAAAATTAGTCAAGGCTGATGCACAATGAGCTGCAGATCAGTGCAGACTGGAAGGTTAACTTGTACCTAGAAGGGGTTTGCCTACAGCTAAGAATCACTATGTTCCTACTTAAGTCTTAGCAGCTTCCTTGGTCCTGCTGTTATGACCTAAGCGGGTATGGCAGCAATGGTAGCAACACCCCACCACCATCATGGCACCGTACTGAAGGTGAAAGCCCAAGGAAGCTGCCTGCGTGTCTGTGCCAGAACATCCTCCGTCAGTTCACTTTGCATTTTGGGCAAGATCTACTCAAGGACAACTGCACACTCCATATAACCTTGTTACTACCTCACTTGCCCTTCACCCTCATCTGTACCCTTTTTAGGAACCTTGTCAGCTTTTTCTGGAAGCAAACACATCTTACTGGCCCCTGAATGCCTTTCCACACATTTGCTCAGGGAACAGTGGAAGCCAGGGGGCTGGAGGGGTTCCTCCTGACAAAGAGGAAGGGAAGTTGCCACAGTCCTTGACTTTAGAATTGTAAATTCTTATATAAGTGACTTTTCAGGGCCACATTGGTAAGGCCAATTCTGGCCTCCCCTGTATTAAAAGACAGATTCTTTGCCTGCCCCCTGGACTTCCTCCTAGTCACATTGGGGGCAGAGTTTGAAGTAATTTGGCACAAATGTCAGAAGATCTGAGCATTCGTATAATCTCTGCATCATGAGTGAGTGGAGGACAGAGAGCAGGTCTTGTCAGCAACTGAGTCCCCGGTCACAGAACAGGAGTCACTAGAACACAGCTCTTGCTTCTGGCACTGAATGTGTGAAGAATACCAAGACGCTCCTCCTCATACATCTACATATGCTGAAATGCATGGAGAGAAAACTGTGAGTTGACGAAAAAGAAGGGAATTCTTCAAGATGCATATGCCTGGTAGACCATGGAGTTATTCAGTGGACACCATATGCGTATGTAGACCCCCTCACAGCCTATATCAGCAGTGTGGAATCACCTGTGGCTCTAAAAGACAGCAGTAGGCAGGGAGAATTTTGAGGATCTAATCTCTGATCATGTCCTTCTAGATCTTTTGGCTGTACCTCCAGTAGCTTTTGATATTTAGGCCTTTTCATGATTCTAACAGAAGAGACAGATCACCAGCAGCTGATGCACAACAGCATCAGAGAGGAGCAGGAGTCCTTACCAAGCCACGACCAGTAGCACGATGGTTGCGAATAATGGCATCCCAAGGTGGCTCGTCAGTAAGAGACTTTTTGTCATAGAGGTCAAGCAGCTGGCTGACACTACGATGAAGAGAGTTTTGGGAATAGGTGCGATTTAGCTGGCTCTGACTTGGTCTCCTTGTCCCAGATACCATATGGACACTGCGGCTGCTCGTGGGAGAACCAGCTCCTGGAATTTTCGTATCTGCCAGCCCCTATGAGGAAGACACAAACTAATAAATCAAAAATAAAGGGTGTGGCCCCAAACACTTTATCTGAACAAAACCAAAGCAGGACTGGAAGAGAATAGAGAAAACCCATGCTTCAGACATCATGCAGAGTTACAAATTAGAAGAAAAGGTTTGTGCTTTTTCTTTAAAAAAGGACCTTTCCCCATTGTAGGAAAATCATACTATTAAAAAGTAAAAATCCCAATCCTGTAAACCACAATGTTTGATGGGTTTTTGGTTTTGTTTCTTCCCTCTCCAAAATGTTGGGGTTTTTTTTGTTAAGTAGCCAAGGCAGAGGTCCAAAGCTTTTTCGCTACCAGAATGACAGCCTGGACTTGCACAGCAAGGAGATATTAGCAGCCCTCCTTTTTAAGTTATCATCACCAGGGAAAAGACATTCACCCACCAGGAGGCACATGCAAGGTAAGATGCCTGTATGCTGCATGCTCTTTGGGTCATCTGGCACATCACACATCTTGCAACTCCACAAGCTAACGACTCTACCTCAAAGTGCATTGTGTAACTTTTGAGGGTGACACTGCTTGATGAATCAGATGTGTCAGCAATGGTCTCAAACTGAGATTAAAGAGAGGGAGGAGAAGTGTTAGGGTGTGAATTAGCTGTAGCTCTGTGAAAGGGGAGCAATGTAGCGGGATGTGGGGGAGTAGGGGAACCAGCAAAGGTGAGACAGTATTTAACTTTTAACTGGTCATCAAGTACAGGGTGGGCAGCCAGCACTGCTTGCCACATGATTTCACTAACAACTGTGAAACACAAGCGATTTTGCTGCTTCATAGTAGCTCTACCTTAACTTCTCAGATTATCTAAATCCCCCAGGTGATGCACTGTAGAACCTTCCTTTCTATTAAGTCTTCTGGAAAAAGAAAAAGAGAGGGAAAAAAAAAAAAAAAAAGGAGGCACAGGAACATGGAAGCATGAAAGGGAATTGTGAAGGCATGCCAACAGCAAAGACATCTTAAAGTCAAGAGGAACAACACAACATGACAGAATGCAGAGGAAAAGGAATCAAAACCATGAGACCGAAAAAAGAAGTTTCTTATGCTCTTAGCCTTTGCCAGGAGAAGGGGCACGCTGGAAATCCCTTTGTTTGCAAGAGCTTCTTCACTGAGGCACAGATGCAGCTTCTTGGCACTGAGACAAGAAGGAACAGAATGCGTGAAGGATGCAGGAGTCACTATCCTGCTTGATGGCACTGACAGGAAAAAGAAGCTGAGAAGTGACAAGAAGAATCATCTCAGAGGCTGTGCCTGGGAAGAAGCAAGGAAATGGAAGGCACTGCTGCGCCCATTCTCAGTCTCACAAGTGCATATTCCTTTTGTCGTAATAAAAATTATACAAAGTCTTCCTTTTTCTCACTCCTCAGCAGTCCTCCTCCAACCTCTCCTGTGGTCTGACTGGAGCTCTATAAGCACAGCTGCACACACACATTCTGTGAAGGTCCCTAGCTCTTTGTTGGTTGCATTTACTCTCCCCCAAACCTTCCTGGAATGCAGTTTGTCCTAGAGCAGTCCAGCTGGGAGGGCGGTGGGATACCAGAAAGAATTAGAGCCTCTCCCCAGGTCCTGCTTTTTGCAGGGACATTTCACAGATACTTAACCAAGACTGTCAGATTGATCCTGGTGAGAGATCCACAACAGATGGTTGGAAACACATGAAAGGTTCCTCTGAAAAGAACATTTTATCACCTACCTTCTCACAGCATCCCAAGGCCTTTTCAACTCTAGTGCAAATGTCAGCTAACATCAGGTGACACCAGTGGCATTTTCTGTGACTCCAGATCCAAAGTTTGTCTTGAGCATTTCAGGGCTTGCAGACCAGGTGCTGTAGGGATCTTTCTGGACTAAGCCCCTGTAACCTGGCTCTCTGCCTTCATAGGTACACCAGACAGCTCTTTTCCTACACTGAGTAGCCTTTGGGTACCAAGAGTGCAACAAATGTTGGAAGGAGGAAGAAAATCTATAAGTGTGGGCAGATAAAAGTAGAACATGATAGATATGGAACACTGAATTTTACCAAACATACCGGGTGGGTTTCACCTGATGAGTATACACTCATTGGTGATGTTCTTTTCTGGAGTGGAACTAAAGGAGGTCTGTCTCGTGCATACGGTTGCTTGTGGACTTTCCTTTGAAGAATTAAGGAGAGAAGAATAGCCAAGAGGATCAAACCTAGAACTACCATCAACACTGCAAACCACAACTCGTTGTAGAATTTTGCACGTTTGGACTCTGCTTTGTCCTTCTCTCCAGGTGTTGTCAAGATCAGACCTGTAAAAATCAAGAGGGATTAGGGGAGAAAGGGAATGTTATTTCAGAAAGCGTTTAACGATATGCTATCCCCTTCCTCACTAATAAATTAGGCAGAAATTTAAGTAATTTTGTCGTCATGTGCTTATTTGCACTTATGTTCAAGGTGGCATAATGGTTCAATATGCTAGCGGGCTATAATAAAAAGCTTACTACCCTCAAGAGACCCTACTTAAAGTTCTGGCATTGCTGCTTAGGCTGGAAATCACCACTGCATCAGCAGCTCTTAAGAAAGGAGGCGGCAGAGGTGGAATGCGAAGAAAAAAGGGTTCTCCAAGTAACCTTGAAGAGTGGAAATGACTACGGTAATTTCAGAGCAGTACAGGCAGAGGACACTCTCTCCAGTACTGTGTAGTGGCAGGCCTGTGTAGTTAAAAAGAGAGAGGGAGGAAGACTTAACTGAAATGAGGGATAAATCAATACAAAAGCAAACAACATGAACCATTTCATTCTGCATTCCCCCACCTCTAAGAAAAAAAAACACCACTTGGTTGTGTTTGCTCATATACAACACAAGCTAAGAAATCTCAGCGACAGGATTTCGTGGTTATTTTCAGTCCTACATGCATATCCGGACTCTTGGCTAAGGAATTTCCATCACCTTTGCTTGCAAGCCTCTTCTGCAAGCTGCCTGTGCTGCTGATTGCATTTGAGGTAGACTTGGGTACCAAGCAGCAATCAAAAGAACAAAGGACAAGAGTATGGAAGGTGATGGGTGTAGAGCAACTGGGAACATCATATTATAATGCCTTTACAGCAGCCTTGCCTGAAATGCTGCAGGAGGATGGAGTGAGAGCATAAAAAGGCACATAAGGGAAATTCAGTTATAAAGAGTAATTGCAAAGACAGGGCCCATCTATTTTAAGAAGCTGGACAAGATGCAACTTAAAAAATAAATAAATGAATTAAAACCAGTAGGTCAGCTAGAAGTGATTCAGTCTTAGCTTTGCTTTCCAGAAAACAAAGGAGTTAGTTAAAAAAAAAAAAATCTTTTTATTGGTAGGCATCCACTATTCACTGGACAACAAGTGATTGGTATCATAGAATCATAGGGGTTGGAAGGGACCTCGAAAGATCATCTAGTCCAACCCCCCTGCCAGAGCAGGATCACCTAGAGTACATCACACAGGAAGGTGTCCAGGCGGGTTTTAAATGACTCCAGTGAAGTATGCCACCACACCAAAGTCCCTCACTTACACAAAATAGGCTCATGGACAGAAAGGAAACAGCAGGAGTTATAAACTGGGTTCTGACAACACCTCGTATGACATTCTCATGAACTGGTTGGGGGAATGCATCCCAGGTGAAACTTAAAAGACTGGCTTGTTGGTCATAAATGGAGCAGGTGGATGTCCCTTGCTAGGCTGGGCTGGATACAGGAGGAGGAACAACGGAGGAGGAACATGGGAGGACAGGATTAGAATTCAAGATAATTTTAATTTGGAAATAAAATCTGGAAGAGAGCAGGTTCTATTTAGCAGGAAAAAGCACTACATTTTGGAGCAATGTTTTTATGTCAAAGTAAAAGAAAAAAAATAGGTCTAGAGAGAGGATCTGAAGCTGATGATGATGTAAAGGAACAGAAATCCATCCATGACAAAAAAAAAAAAAAAAAAGCCACATAACCCTCATAGCTTAAGGCACTAAGGGATCCCCTGATCCTGCAATGAGATGCCATCCTGTCTGTCATGCATAACATAGTAAACTTCTACACCAAACATAAACCAAAAACAAATAGGTGTTCACATATTTACCAACTCCATCTCCAGCGCTGTACTTGATGACTGGTGTCATGGCACTCCCTTCATCGGTGATGCAGGTCACTTGAAACAAAAAGGCTGAGCAAGAAAAGGTAGAAAATACTGTCAGTAGGAGAAATCAAAATCCTGTAGGTGTTGCCTTTTCACCATGAGCCACCAGAAGATATGGCCAGGTCTGAGAAAAGCTGAGACAAGCATAGCACATAACCCATCATAACCCACCTGAGTCCCAGATAAGAGCCCCATAATCCCTTTTACATGGATATGTAACTTCTAAACTATGAACCATGGCAGATCACAGCTAGTCACCACTATGATGTTGCTAAAAATTCACCACCCAATCCTCCCTCTTCCAATGACATGTAACTGGCAACTTTCAATCTGTTCATCATTTTTGCCTAATATTCCATTCATGGCTGCTACAAACATCTTGAGAAGTTTTGAGTGAAAAAAAAAAAGAAGTAGTAGCATCATTGCAGGTAAAAAATAAATTCAGAAATCTTCTGACATACAAAAAACCCAATGTTTTAAAAACAGAAAATGTTTCTTTTTTTTTTTTATCTTTTTTCCCCCTTTATCTTTTTTCCCCATCTTGTTAACATTTTCCTTGCATTTTAAAGATTGCCATTTTCTAAAGACAAGCTGCATTTCAAAACATGGTTGATTCTAAGAGGCACGGACTTAATCTGATTCAGATGAAAATTCAGACTCCAGCCTTTTCTGAAGGTGAAGATTTGCATACATTTCCCAGAGTGTGGCCCTGAAGGGTTGGATTGCAATGCAGCTCTAGGATTTGGGAAAGTTCAGCTTTCACATGAGCCAGATCAGTGTCAGCCAGTCAGGTACAATGTTTAAGAAGCAGCCTAGTTCCAAGTATTTGTTTCGAGCGTCTACTTAGATGTATCTGTAGTACACTCCTGTGCTCTTAGCTTAGGATGGCTATGGAGAGTTTGTCTTAAATTTAGCACACAATAGTATTAATTTAGCTCAACAGTCTTTCACAGAGAGAAAGCTACAGAAGATGGCAACTTGCTTTTGTCAGACGTCCTTGGTAAATACAGCTCCGTGTCAAAGCCACTGTAGATGCGCTGCCCGCTCTCGGTCAGCGCGTACTCCTTGAGGCGTCCGTTCAGCACAAAAGTGCGACTCCAGTCTATGTGGATGGTAGAGAAATTGCTCACGATGGAAAAGGGAATCATGTACCGAGGTGCTGAGAAAGAAGGAAAAAAGAGTATTTCAAGCCAACAGGCATGACTGAGTTATACAGCACAGAGAAAGACTTTGCATGGCACAAGCTCTCAACACATGCGCTCCCTCTCTCTCATATATGTGTGCATGAGCGGGGAAGGTACAAGGAGAAAAGAGACAGCTGCTGTCACGTGCCAGTCTCTACACTGAGGAAATAGAAGTATCACATATCTTTAAAAGAGGGACCTAGAGCTCTCTTCCTTTGCCTTTGTGTGTGTGGTACAGACACTAAAACAATTCCAGCTTAAGGTGGGGACAGGGAGACACAGCGGGTTGTGCAAGTTCTGCTGCAGCATGATGGCTGTGGGAACTGAACTGCTAAGGAGAGGACTCTTTTGCAAGCCTCAAGATATTGCCCTAGATCATCTTTTAACACATGCGCATATATGAAAACATAGGGTTTCAGAAAAGCAAGAGCAGATGGCAGGCAGAAAGAAAAGAAACCCAGAACCCATTTCAGGGAGGAAGAGTTCATCAGCTGGGCTCAACAGCTGGCTAACAAAAGACTTCATTTAATTTTGAGGTCGTCCTTTCTTCTGGCTTTGCCATTAATCCATGTGCCCAGTATATGTTGGTTTGCTCATAAGAAAGCTGCTTGTCCAGATGCAGTTTGATGCTAATTGCCCACTGTCATTCAAGCAAGCCTTCCAGGCAAGAGGTAGGAGACATTCAGAGCAACTTAGGAGACATGGTGTGAAGAAGACAGCAGAGCAAGGAAAAGAAGACTAAAAGAAGAGGGCTGCAGACCCAGTGGACAGGGGTTTAAAAAATGGCTATCAAAACCTTTTGTGCTGTATATCTCAGCAGCTCCTTATGAATTTTCTCCATTTCAAAGTACACTATCATATTTCAGCTTTTTAGTTTACAATTTAATAAAGCAGAGCTTTAGAGATAAAAACTTTTTTTTTTTTTTTTTTTTTCCCCTTCAGTCATGATATTAAAAAAGTCTGGTGCAGCTCCATCTGAAATTTTCAGCTAAGGCTGCAGCAGACATATTTTCAGTAATTACTCAGCAGGACTACCAAGAGATGCAAAAGGGACTTTTAGAAAGGTGATTCTGAAATCCTGACAGGAGACCATATGATAGAAAGTGAACATCCTTTTTGCCCTGACCTGGCAGGCTGAAGTGAAATGCCCATCTCATCTGTTATGGAATGACTCTGGCTACAGGAGTATAGATCTTTTTAATAAAAGCTGATGTTAGATTACTACAAATTCAGTTTTGATGGCAAAATCTATTCTGACTGTAGGCACAGGTCCTGCATGTTTAATTTCCATGCAGATACATGGCCTTAAAGTACTGCCTGTGGTGGTTAGATAGACAGCAATGATGACAGTTACTTCAGTGTCAACAAGGATCCAATCATTCATGACACCCAAGGAAAACCTTCATGAGCTCAGGCAGAAATGTGGCCTGAATTCAGACAGTAAGATTGTTCCTAAAAAGAATCACCAAGTCTCTTTCAAGATCTCCACTTTTCCAAGGGATTATTTATGGCAGTATATTTATTACTACACATCACCCTTCTGGTAACACTTGAACATTTTATGTTCTGCTGCTTTGCTGCCCATTTTCAGTAAAATTAATGGTTTCCAGGTATCCAAGACAGAGGATATGATGTCAGAAGATGAGCAAAGAAATATTTTTGAAGGAATGAGCAATCAAGCCACAGAGCAGAATTTTAATGGTGGGCAGCAGAGGCACAGTGACCAGGAGCATGGAAGAGCAGGTTTCTGGGGAAATCATCTTTCACAGAGGTGAATAAGTCATTTGGTGTTAGGCAACCCCATGCATCAGAAGTGGGTGTTGCTGATCAGTGACCCATTGCTCATACTCACGCTCCTTCTCTGTAGTGAAACCAATCCACTCTGAGGCGCTGCTGCCAACAGAGTTGTAAGATACAACTCGCAGGTTGTAGGTGGTGTAAGGCTCCAGGTTGGACACATTGGCACTCTGTCCTTTTCCTGTATACTTCACCTCAGTTGGGCCAGGACTGCAAGCCTTCACTGCTGGCTGTAGGTTCAGGGGACAAGCCATATACACATGGAGCTCATAGCTGAGAAGAGAATTGAAATTTTGATTAATCAAGAGCCTTAATAACATAACAGCAATCATACATTTCATCCTAATTGCTCTGTGTCTGGCTACTGAAGAAAATGGACCCAATCCCAGTTGTTTTTTTTTTTTTTCTTTGAGATTTTGGTCTGTAAGTTGCCTATGAGCAATGGTTGTTGTAAGTCACACTCACAATGAAACCACTGATGCCTGCTACCTTGCTGCTCACTTCTGCAAATCAGGATTTGTCTAAGTAACTACAGGATGCAGCTGTCTCTTTCAATGCCAGCTGATCTCACAACTTTTTGGCTGTGCAACCACAGCTGTCAGACCTCCACTCAGAACAGCTCATTCTCTCCACCATTATTGTCCCCAGTATCCTGCTCAGGAGAAAGGCAATTGTGGTGTGTCAGCACCTTCCAGATAGCATTCAGGCTGCAGGATATCACCACCAACATGGGGAAGGAGAAGCATGGCAGCCACAACCATCTAGCGCTCTCAGCCCTGTGATTCCAGCTCAGATTGTTCCACCACCACCCCTCACCAAGATGTGCAGGTTCAGCCGGGTGGCAGCTCTCACCTGGTGACAATGCCATTGGGTGACTGAGGGGCACTCCACTGGAAAGAGGCGTTCCTGGAGGTCACGGTGCGGATCTGCGGAGGGGGCTGCTCTGAGGGAGGGGCTGGCTGCGTCGTGATTTGGGCCATGGGTCCTTTGCTGCAACAGTTGAAACAAGTGCAGGCCTCCACACCAATGGAGTATGTGGTAAAAGGCTTTAGCCCATGTATTGTCTGCTGGGTGGCAGTTCCTTCTGACAGCTGTAAAAATTAAGAGGGAACTTGTCAAAGCTTCAAGCACCACAAGTACTAAATAAGAGTTATGGAAGTGAATTAACTCCAGAAGAAGATGGGCACAAGGTTCTGCATGTCCTTTAAGTCTGACATTAATGCAGATGTTGTGCACTGGGAACTCTGCATTCATTTTCCTCCAATTATGAAGTTAAAGGGCACTGTTAGAAGGAAAAGACCATGCCATCAGTGGCCTTACAGACGTCTTATGTTGAGCTGTGACCACTGTATTTCAACTTGCAAATGTCATTCTCAGGAACAGAGAAGCAGAAAATCTTTATGGAGAAACTCTGGGATAAGTGGTACTGAAGCAAAAAGACATTTATATGGAAAACAGCTCCACAGTAAGTGGAGTGCAAATACTCAAGCCTATCTTACAAGCTTCCTCCACGTGGATATAGGAGGCAGCACTGGGGAGAGTGATACTAGTGGGTCAGTTTACTCACAGACAGGAGAATGTGTTCTCTGGTAGGTACCTCTAAGTTGAGGTACTTAACTTGAGTATGCACTCAACTGCTCTGCACTCAAATGGCCATGGTGCTGGGCAACCCTGTTAGGAAACTCTCCTCTCTTGCTCAGCAAGGGGGACCTGGGGGCTGTGGCAAATGAAACAGTGCCTTCGTTCTGAAACTTCTCACAGGAACTGCCACTTCACCTCATTGCTGTAGTAATTTCCAGGTATAACTTCATAAGCCAAAGAAATAAAAATATGTAGAGAACACCAGCGAGGGACAACATCTGCTCTCATTTTACAGCATGTGATTTAGCCGAGTGCAGCAAAAAATATAGGAAGGAAAGAATCAAGCAAGCAAAGGAAAACATTTCTTGATGCCAGAGCCAGAGATAAGCCAGCACAGCAGGTGTGAGGGGATGGAAATGGGGGGCCATGCAGGCACCAATGAGATGAACTGGCTGAAACAGACACAGCCAACTGCACTGGAAGGAATAAATGTGTAATGTGCAATTGGGAGGTAGCTTAAGCTCATGGACTAGATTGATGACCTGGGAATGTGTATCTAGCACTTCCAAGCCGAGAAAGATGGGATGAGTGAAAAAAAAAAAAAAAAAAACAAACATGCAAATGTTTACCTACTTGAAAATAAAAACAAATTGATAGTGTGACAGACAAAAAGTATTCAAGTATTTTTCACTGATTTGGTGGTGACTGTACCAGGCATCTTCCACAGCCCTAATTTTCCCCCACATCTCCCTGTTTTACATAACTCCAATGAAGCCCTGCAAGTTTCGTAAGCTGAGACCTGTCATTTCTAGACAACTAATGGTGCCTAGGCTGAGACACCAGACACAGATGTCATCACTTTGGCTACTTAAGCTACTCTTCAGTGCCTTACTATTAAATACTTAACAAGAAGAAAGATTTTAAGGGAAGCTCACGTACAGCACTTTCATCTGAACTTTGAATTCCAAGGCTAACCAAAGCACACAACCATTTCCTAAAGGCTGCAGTTTCCACCTGCACCATTTGGACTGTTGGGAGCTGTCTGGAAATGTTTCATTTGGACAGTTAGACACCTCTGAACAATAAAGGTTCCCATCACATTGCTACAGCACTTCACCACTTCAAAAGTGTTCCATGGTGAGGTTAGTTCCTTGAGAAGCACATTTAGTTGAGAGAAAGCCCTGGTGGTGCTTTAGCTAGAAGACAGCACTGCAGAGCAGTTAGCAATGAAGAGAAAGACAGCCTGTAGCCAGCAACAGCAACTTGTAAGAACAAAATTGTTAAAGGTAGAAAGCACAAGCTCAAATGGAAGTACAGAAAGAGGGTTGACAATACTCACCACCACATCAGTCCCTCTGGTATCATTAGAAAACAGCCTGTAGATACTGACCACCCCGTTCGGCTTAAGAGGGGGGCTGATGTTCACCACGGCCACTGTGGAGGCCACCATGTCGAAGAGGGGAGCTCCCAGGCCTTCGGGAGGGGCAGGGCCCGTCCGGCAGCGAGACCAGCCGCTCGGTGTCCGCCCCGCTGAGTTTACTGACCACACCTTCAGCACACGAAAACAGAGAAACTGTTAGTGAAGGGCTCAAGCCTACACAACATCCATGGTTAGCCAGGGATGCTACTGCAGCTGCACTGACACCGAGGAAAAACGCAATGCAATGACACCCATGCAGTGTCCCTTGACTGCCGCCCAGTACCTGTGTTGATCCAGTGACCTATACTGAAGAGTGCAACATTTCACACCACTACATTTGGGGAAAAGAAGCAGATTTCATGTCTCAGGAAGTGTGTGTTCATGTGCCTTCATACCTGATCCCCAAACTCTGAATTCCCATCACTGTCGGTGTCATACCATGCAAAAAGGTACATTCCTTGAGAAGCTGTGATCAACAATGATTATGTTTTCAAAGACATCTGAACAAAAATACTGATATCCAGTCCTGGCAGTTTCTCCCTTCTACACACTTTTTTCATGTATGCAAGCAGCCCAAATGAATTCAGCTTGGCACTGTGTCACACCTAAGTGACATTCACCTTGGCTGAAGCTCACAAGCTGAACTCTAGTTACTCTTTAAACCCAGCAAGTTTCACAGGAACATCCCTTTCTTAAAAATATTAATGCATCAGTCGTTTGGCAACATTTGCAGTAGCCCATAATATAAATAAAGCCCACTGAAATGTATACTTGTCAACATCCCTCATTTATTTTTACAACATTTGCTTTATTGCATGAGCATAAAGACAACAGCTTCAGTTCCAAGATTTCAAAATTTAGCAGCTTGAATTAGGCCTGATTAAAAACCACATGTCTCTATGAACTATGCCTACTGATTTTGTCAGCTTCCCAAAACCAGAGTGATCTGCAGACTACATAAAACTCAGCACTTATTAAACACCCTCTCCAACAAATCTGCATGAAAATTAAATTTTGCTTTCATCAAGGAGTGAATAAACATATGGAAGGATGTATAATCCTATTTATCAAAAAGCATTTGTATAATTAAACACGAATATCATAAAAGGTTGCCTTAGGTCATCATTTGCATGAGTAAGTAATTTGTAGAATGTCAGGTACAATAGACAGAATAGATGGATGCGTGAGTGTATAGGGTTAAATTAGGCTCAATATTAGCCAACCACATAGTGATCAATCAGAATGATAGATCTAAATGGCAATACAAGCAGACTGAGCGATTTTTAGTATAAGTATTCCTTAGTAAGCTTTCATGTTGAGTGGTTCTAACTACAGTAAAACACATTCTTACGTGATCTTCCTGGGGAAGTGGATGGGGGACTGTGCGTTAAAAAAAAAAAATAAAATAGGAGCATTAGAAAGAAGAGGTCTTCAAAACTGGCCCTGGAATCCTTCCAGTTTGCAATACTGATTTCCAAGACACTTCACAAGGAGTCTGAGCAAGGGCAAAGTCCAAAAACCACCACAGTGGCTTTGAAGACTGTGGTTCTGCCTATTACAAACCCAAAGTTCTTGCCTGATTCCATCAGTAATGTACAGCACCATGCAGAGAAACACTACATAAGTACAGATGATGCCCTGTAATAAAAAGCTCAGCCAAAACACTTTAATTTTCAGTGAAATCACTAGTATAGCTCTGTAGTGAACTTTTCATAAAGTCAAACTCTGTTCACTTTACTGCAGTAGGTCAAACCCTCTATCTCAGTTCAGTTCCAGCTGCTACAAAGATTTACCCACAGTCATTCATTTCATGGGCCATATTTCTTTGTGGAAAGAATAAACCACATATGGAAAGAGCAGCTCTGAGTGTGCCACTGGCATCGAATCAGCACTGACCTCAGCTCAAATGCTCTAGTTATATCCAGACTGTGGCCTTAATGAGCATGGAGCGTAACAGTGGCAGATCTGACCTGCCGAGCAAGCTGCCCACACTAAAACTGAAGGTGATGAGTTAGGAACAGAGGCTTCCTGTGTAGCACAGGAATTCAGCCTCAGAATGGGACTCCCTAGGAATTTTAGAGGAGAAAGGGATGAAACTCATTTGGGAAGCAGATGCCTGACTGAGGGTTGGATGGAGACACCTTCCACCTTTGATTCCTTTCCTATCATAAGAGTCTATGCCTTGTCTTTCAGAAAACAAGTCTTATTTCAGACAAACAAGGGCTTGCTCTTTCAAAACACCGTGCTGGGACAAGGGAAAATGGGATGCTCACCCACTTTCATACTACAGCTAAATGGTTAAAGGACTTCTCCAGGAGGCAGGTAATTTAAGTTCAGTCACATGTTCTAATGGAGGTAGTCCAGTCTGTCACCCTCCAGAGTGGGAATGCCCAAGTGGATGACCCATCTTTATACTTGGGGTGCTTCCAGTGCTGCCTTCGGGTCTATTTAACTTTGCATGAAGACAGTGAAATCAAGCCTGACTGGGCAGAGCACAAGCAAGCAGGAGAGGTTGTGGTCCATCCCCCAGGGGCCACATGCTTTCCCCTCTTGTAAAAAGGCCAAGGTCATGGCTGTGTGTGTGTGGGCCTGATAGACAGGCATGGTCTGTGCATGCCTTCTAGACAAACGCCAGCTACTCAGCCCTGCCAAGACATGTTTCCAGCAGAAAACCTCTAGGTGTCTGTGAAACTCTCTAATGCCAGCTTCTGAGACAGCTGTGACAGCTAAACAGGACTTCTGAGGATCTAAATTCAGGATTTACACTGACCTAAGCTGGATTCCCTTAACTCCCTCTGCTTCTGCTCAGCCATCTGTAAAAGGATGGATGAGTATAAAAATATTTCCCTTTGAGAGTTACCATCCAAGTAAATCCTGGTCAGCGTTTGGAGACTCAGAGCAGCAAGTGCCCAGAATTGACTGCAGATGGAAACACTGCTGTTTAGCCACTTCTTTGCATGAAGACATGGGACAGCATGGCAACAGAAGCCACAATGTAGAGTGCCTATTAAAATCTGAGGTTTGGTCCTCAAAAAATCACCACAAAATGGTCATGGATGAAAGCTGTTGCCTGGCTAGTGCAGTTAAACTGAAATTTCATGGTTTGGACTTTTGTAAAAAGCTTTTGGAGCTGTCCTGGTTTGGCCAGGATAGGGTTAATTTTCATCGGAAGCTTGGGGTGCACCTCAGCTGGTGTGGACAAGGGAACCAGTGGAGAGGTTACTCAAGACCATGCTGATGTCATGCCCACAATGTAAGGGCTGGGAGCAGTCTGGCTGCGCTGCAGTCTTGGGCTGATTGGCATCATGTTTCCATTGGGAGCTAATGTGGCCTGTCTTTGTATCACTTGCTTTATATACTGTTTCATTACTGTTATTGTTATTAGTGTTGTTTAGTGCTCCTTTTGTGTTATTGTATTAAATTCTCCTTATCTCAACCCACGGGGTTTTGTATTTTTCTCCCTTTTCTCCTTCCCTTTTGGGGGACAGGTGGAGGTGTGTGAGTGGCCACGTGGTGCTCAACTCCTATCTGGGTCTAAACCATGACATGGACTCACAAAAAATACCTTCTAACTTGTGATATAGAAAAAAAGAAAATTAACTGCATTCACATAGAACTGTAAAGAGCTTAATAAGCAGGAGTATTACCTGCTGCTTATAATGTAAGAAGATTATAAAAGAGCACACAGGAACACGGAGCAAACAAGAAGCAATTACATCTCAGGGATGCCTTGAATGGTAAACCACAGCAGAAGGCCAAAAAAAGTTTCTTAAAACTTGACTTTCTGAATATACTGCCTCTAAAAGCATTAAGTCTGACATCATGCTGCGTGGCTCAGCACCCTGCCAAAAGCCGTGCTGCTGTTACTGGCTGCACTGTCCCCAAAAAGCCAGGAGAGGGCTCCAAAATCAGCCACACGGGTTACTGTTTAAAATACTTCATCAATCTGCTGGCCCCTGGCCCAGACTGCACTTTGAAGTGGAGCCAGGGAGAGAGAGGAGGCACCCTCTGAGGGGACCGTACAGTTGGAGGTTTGAAGAATTCCAGTTATAGGTAACTAAGCTTAGGGTTTTTTTTTTTTTTGTTTGTTTGTTTGTTTTTTTTTTTTGTTGTTGTTGTTTTTTTTGGGGTTTTTGTTTTTGTTTTTGTTTGTTTGTTTTTTGTTTTTTTTTTTTCCATCATAAATGAGCCTTCACAGATCTCTGCTCCTGGAAGACATGAGTGATCAGCCATCACTCAGAATGATCACAGAACAACCTCAAGGTTCATAGCACAGGAAGAATGGGCAAAACTTATGAGCAGCAGGACGGAAGTGCTGAGAAGATGATCACAGTCTTACCATGGTGAGCCCAGCCTGTTCAAGATAGGAAAGCAGAGAAAGCACTCCTCCCATAAAGGGCAACACAATCACAATGACCGTCAGGTGTAGGTGCAAAAAAAAAAATCATAGTATTGTGGACATTGACAGTGGAAGAAGTCCATTAAATGGCCTACGCCACCCCTGAGCCACACAGTTGTCTGCTGCAACACTCTTGAAACCACAGGACCTCACCAAGGAAGCTATGCTTTAGACTAAAAATGAGGCTTTTCTTTCATCAAATTGAGATCATATGTGAAGGTATTTACTCTGTACAGGAGGTACAAATGGGAACTGAGGGAAACAGCTGGCTATATGCTTACACTGCTCCTCCAATGCTGCTGCACAGGAAAGGCACTAAACAAAGAAAAGTAATGCTAAGCCAGGCAAGCACTATGGCCTCGCCATGATGAAAAAGGGAAGGTGATGGAGCTGCCAAAATAATGCATTCAAATTAACCACCCTCAAGGGACAAAGATAGTCCAGGATAAAGGCTGAAAACACAGTGTAACCAAAAGTTCCACCTTGCACCTCCCCCCCAAAAAAAAGCAATGCACTGATCACATGACTTTGATTACTTGAAGCAGCACAACCACAGCTGTCTGAGCAGCGGTTTGGTAGAGGACGTCGTAACACCTGCCAGCTCACAACTGGCACCTCAGAACTGGCTCAGCTGGGAAGTCCCCAGATGGGTATCCCCTCTGCTCCTGCAAAGGGGAACCTCAGGCATTCAGCAGCTTATGAAGAATGAGAAACTCTCCCTTGCTGGAGA